AGGAGATGGGGGGCTGTGGTCCGTGGACAATCAACCCCAAGGTGAGGGCTGGGGAACCAAAGTCCTAGAAACCAAATGGCGGTTTCCTGCCAAACCTTGGTGCTGCCATGGGCCACGAAATGTCCCCTCCAGGTGCCAGCTGAAGGGGCACCAGCCAGGGGAGTTTAGAAACTGAGGCCTCTGGGCTCTAACACTGACAGATAACCCCCATAACCCACCACCAGCTGGACGCCTGCCCGTGGCCCACACCAGCTGGGTGCTGGATTTAGGGTGATGCACGCCCACCTGAGCAGCCAACACGTACCTCACCCCGCTGTCACCCAGCCTGGCGGCCCCAGCACCCCCAACTGCACCTGGTTTGCCGTCTGGCTCCCCCCAGCCCCCGCCACCACTGGGTCCCCATGCAGTATTAAATGTGTAAATAGCACTGCGCCCCTCCACCCCACGTGTCCAGCCTGTGCCTGGCTGAAGGACCAGACAGCGTGGACGCCAGACTCTTGTGCACCTTTAATAAACACACTGTGGATGCAACCACCTGTCCTGACACCCTCAGACCTGTCTGTTCACACAATGGGGGAGGACGGGGTCGGGGTGAAGGGGAGGGGCCCCACAGCGCCTGCCATCCTGTTCACCGCCGGGAATGAACACTTTGCTGAGACCTAGGTCCCCAGAAGCAGAGTCCACCATGGTCAACTGCACTGACCTGCAGCCAGCCAGGTCTGAGTCCTCCAGCCGCTTCCTGGCGCGGTAAGTGGGACCCCTGCTGTGGAAGGCTGTCTGTCCAGGCCCCTGGGGGTGTGTGACCCTCTGCCTGTGGGGCACCAAAGGCAACATTATTGTGCACTTGCTGTATGCCAGACAGTGTCCAGTCCTTCCAAGTTGGTGGTTTTGTCCCTGTCTTAGGTGGGGTCCCGAGAAGGGGATTCAGGAGACAGAATTTACTGGGGTGCTTAGGAAGAAGGGAGGTGGGATGGGGAGGGAAGGAGCTGAGGCGGCCTTAGCCTGATCCCACGGGAGCCCTGAAGTGTGAACTGCACCCGGGAGTTAGCTCCACCGTGGGTCCGAGGGCCAGATTTCGTTCCCCCGTATGTGTCAGTCACTGGCTTCAGTCCACCCCCAGAGAGAGGCTGTAAAACAGCGGGCGTCCATGTGAGGCAGCTCCTTCTTTCCAAAGGCCAATCTCCAGAGCAGGGAGCAGCCGCCAGCCGCCTGCAGCCACAGGCGGGGATGATCTGGGCCATGGTGCCCACTACAGTCCACCCCTTACACAGCTCAGCCCCATGGCTTCTCCCACGTAGCTTGCTCCATCTGAGCGCAGCTTCTCCGAGATTCCAAAGTGACAGCTGCACTCAGTACAAGCCTCAGGGCGGGTCCCCAGAAGCAGGGCCCGAGAGCAGGGTCCCGTGTGTGGCTTTATGGACGGAAAACCCGGGAGAAGGCAGGGAGGGCTGTGGTGTGGGTCAGGGGGCAGAGCTGACCCCACCGGAGCTCTGGAGCATGATGAGCACTCAGGGGCGATCGGTCCCACCTGCAGACAAGGGGGCGGGTGTTGCTCAGGGCCAAGGCACCTCAAGCTGTTAACAGCCACATGGGCTCTGGTGGGGCCACAGCGCCCATTGCCATGAACAGAGCCGAGCCTGGCACTTTCTGAACGCCCATGGCAGGGGCTGGGGGAGCTTGGTCTGGGGTGCCCAACGCGTCAACGCCATTTCCATGGGCGATGGTGATGATGACCGCAGACAGGCCCAGCCCTGGAGCTGCCTGGGGCTCAGCAGAGGCATCTTAAAGGATGAGAACTTGGCCAGGCAGGGGTGGCCGGAAGGGCTGTCCCCGACAGGTCAACAGAGCCCGAGTCCCAGGACTGCACAGGGGACGCAGAGAAGGACAGGGCCGGTGGTGGGGTTACTGGCCGATGAAAGGAGCAGAGCCAGCACAGACTCAACCATGGAGCTGGAGGTCCATGGACGTGGTGGGCTCAGATGGGCCACAAGGTCCTGGCCAGGAGCCCTGACCCGGCCCGCTGGGAGGGCCTGTGTCTGAGGTGTGCCGGGTGACGGTGCTGCGGGCAAGGCCGAGATTCCATGGCTGGTGGGGGAGATGCTCAGGTGCCTGCTGGGTCAGGAGGGCACGGGCCACGTGTGAACAAACACGTCCTGGATAATTCACAAAACGGAGAACTGGATGTCGGCCTTTTACCCTGGCGGGGCGGGCAGGCTGGGCCATACCAAATGAAGGGGGGGGGGGCGTCCTGGAATGCACCACCAGCTTCTCTCTGCTCCTCCCAAGTCCAGGGAGCAGGGTGGGTGGGTCAGCCCGAGGGGGTGGCCGCGGGCAGCGCCGTCTGCGCCACCTGCCCCACGCCCCGCTCAAGCTCCACGCCTGCCCGCTGCAGGTCCTCACGCTTGTGCCTCAGTGCCTCGCCCGCCTGCCGCAGCCGCTGGTTGGTGGCCACATAGGCCTGGCTCTGCTGGTACAGCTGCTCCCGCCGCGCCTCAGTGTCCTCGGCGCCCCCAGCAAGTCCTGCGGAGTCTGGGGACAAGACACAGCAGAGTCGGCCTGCGGGCCGAGAACCCAAGCCTGGGAAATAAAAAACCAAACCAGTTCCCACGGAGCTGACTCTGACTCCTGGTGACCCACGTGCGTCAGAGCAGAACTGTGCTCCGTGGGGATTTTAGCGGCTGGTTTTCCGGCAGTAGACTGCCAGGCCTTTCTTCCGAGGTACCTCTGGGTGGACCCAAACCATCAACCCTTTCGTTAGCAGCTGAGTGCTTAACAGTTTGCACCACCGGGGATCCAGGGACTGCAGTAGAAAGACGGATCCCGGGGCCAAGCACACAGTAGGCACTTAATAGATGCAGCTTCAGAGAAGCGCTGGGTTTCGGCCCTGGCCTTGGGCCGCCTTGGAGGGGCCAACCCTCTGTCTGACAGAACTTCCAGGTGATGGAAATGTTCTCCATCCGCACCGACCAACGCGGCGGCCACGTGTGGGTCTTGAGCCCTTGAGATGTGGCCAGATGGAGTGCAGACCTGAATTCTTCATTTTACCGCCTTTTTATTCACACCTTAAGGGCCACGCGTGGCCGGTGTACTGCACAATGCAGGTCCGCGGTGTCGACTTCCGTGGGCATCCAGGGGAAGTCGCTGGGGGATTTAGCGTATTTTCATAGCACACTCCACACAGATATCTGGGGGTCCCCCCTGTGCCCACATGGTGTACATACTCTCCTCAGATTCCTGACCG